ATCCCTTTCGAGGTCGCGCACGCTGTATTCCGGTGGATCCGCCGTGAACACATCCGGCGAAAACTAAACCGGTTTAGCTTTAAGCACGTTAGGACCCCTTTAATAGCTTATAGGTAAACAAAATTAACATATCTTAACAGCGTTAAGAATTTCCGCGTCCTCACGCCGTCGCTCCACGGCCCAGACGGCAAGGGTTAAAGGGTAAGTTTGTTAAGTAGCGTGGATCGCGGAAACCGCCATAACCTATACGAAGACACGCGACCCCGAAGAAACGCGATATTCGAGTCGACGAGACGAAACGCAGCCGACGCCGACGTCTTCCGCGAGGAGTGACGTTGCCGTGCATCAACTTGCCTGACCGGGCATTGATATGTAACACTGGAACTATCGAGCATTTATCCAGTTAATTACGCTTGACGAGTATACACGTCATCTTAAAGCTTGAAATGATAGTAATTCTTTCAACGGTGAATTCTTGATTTTTTCAGATAAACATGTTATTCTTCTTAGTTTTGCTTTGGTTTTATACCCTGGGTGCATTCGTCCTGCGTTTGACGAGTACACACTTCATTTTTTCATTTTATTGCGTGCAAAACGAGAGATTTTTGAAATTAAATTCCACAGTTAACAGGTGAATACGATTGAATGTTCCTGCTGGTACTGGACTATTAAAATCTAGGTTAATTTTCTTTATACTTGATATGCAATTGATTCCTATTTGTGTCTAAAATAATACATTTTAAATAATAAACTAAAATCAATAACTAAATATAACAAATAATTAGACATCATAATACTAATACTTATAATTGTTTCTATGAAAAAATTCGATACTATTTCAGGAGTGTTTTCTTTTCTTTCTGTTACAGGAACGGTGGTAAGTAATTTATAAACAGATTTTAATTGAGTACCCAATATTTGTACAATCGAGTAATTAACTTTTTCGTTTCGTGCACTGTGTGTTCGGACTTACGCTTGCGCGTCGTTTTGCTTAGATGTGTGTGTATTTGGCAATTACTTAAAGTACGAAAAAAAGTGAAAGAATAATATTTATTTTCTTTTAAGAGAAAGCTCTTAAATATACGTAAAATATAAAACTTTTAAAAATAGCTATACGAAATAATAAATTCGGAGTATGAACGTGTTAAATTTCAAGTAAGTTAACTGTATTATCTTTTTCTCTACCTTTTATGCAGGTTATGCTCGAAACAAGTGAATTCCATTTATTACGTTGAGAATACGTCTTGAAGATTGAAATTTAATTATTTCCATATTTATTTAAGCATGAAATAGTTTAAAAAGTAATATTATTTTAAAATTTATCAAAAGATTTAAGAAAAAACATCTTTACATAACCACCCAAAAGCATTTAATTGCTGAAAATCGTATAAAAAGATATATATTCTGTTTTTAAAGAGCGATTATTTGTATTGATCAAATAGAAACATCTAATAAAAGAACTTACACAGACAACTCAGAAGTTAAATTAATAGAAAATAATTCAGACTAGCTTTAGAGAAAAGTGTATTCGACAAATGTTACATTCGAATAATCTGCCATTAAAGTTCTTGAAGTCTTATTAAAAATTAAACGATAGTGTTCACAATACATAGCTCTTACCCTCATGTCGTATAATTGATAACCAAATTAGCTAATTATATTTCTCCATTGGGTATATTTTCGTTGAAAGAATCGCTGATGTTTGAAGGTACGACTGAGAGACTTATCAGCGCTCGATTCCCAGGCTGAGCAGTTCACGCGGAATATCTCCGGCCCGGTGAAAATCCTTTATCTTCAAATCGCCGGAGATAATTTGGTCGGTGTAGACATGGCAAATATCTGTACAAGAGATCGGAATAAGGGTTGCGCTGCGCCGACGGTGATGGTGGAAAATTGGCACGCGGAAAGACTATGTGGGTTATAGGGGGACGAGATCACTAATACAGCACATGTTTGCGAACCTGTTAATAATGCTGCGTTTGCTCGCCAGGTTATTAGTAATGGCAAACACCTAAATTGTTCCGCCGTGGATTAGTAATAAGAACAGCTGCTAAGCTGTGCCCGTGCCGAGATTTCCTTGACCATCGAATAAATCTACGACGAATGAGCATAATATTGCTCCCGATGCTGTGTCATCTAACTACTCGATTCATATACTTTTACTTGATTATTTTATATACAGATTGTAGGTATTAATTTAAATTAATCTGTTAAGTGTGGAATTTAGTTTGAAAAATCTCTCATTGCGCAAACAATATATACTCGTCAAAGCAGGGCGAATGCACCTATAATATATTCTAATGAAGAATCAAAGTAAAACGAAGAAGAATTACATGTCTATCTGCTAAAATAACTAATTCAACGTGACAAAAATTGGTATTATTCCGAGTTCTAAGACGACGTGTATACTCGCCAGACGCAGTTAATTGGTTAAATTATAGACACCCCTGATAATACGTATGTCTCAGAACACAGGTATGCGTTTCTCATTGCATTCACGCGAGCACCACACGAGAGTTCAACGATTTAAGTGTTTCATAAGGAGATTGAATTTTATTTATTTATAGTATACCCAATTAAGTTCATACTATTCTCAATGTGAAAAGTGATAACATTATCAATAAAGTACGCAGTAATTATATTAAGTGACTCTTTAATTGCTTACGAATAGGTAAAATGTTAATAACAGCTTACAAAAGGTACTGAAAGTCTTCTTGTATCTTTGTCTTCCTTTAACCTGCAAATATTCTCATCTCTGCCTTTATTAATAATGTATTAAATACGTTCACGCAAGTATCATATGTATAAATAAAAGGGTATAGTGATTTTCCAGTCGTTCATTCATAGAATGCAATAAATCAGGAAGATAACTTTTAAAATATCTTCATACAGATTTTCAAAAAAAAGAAAAACGAATATCAATAAACGCATATTTGATCAGTTCGACGATCAATTCGACGAATCAGTTAAATAAAAGAGAAACGAGGATTATAGCTAGCGTTTTCGAGCAGTACGTCAAGATATATCAAGTGACAGAATGGTATCGAAAACTGGAGCACAGCCGAGAACACGTGTCACACGCGTTCTGTTACGAAACAATGGAGAGAATTGACTGACTAACAGTTTTTCAGCGCGACGCAGTTTGTTTCGGGGATTCGAATCTGGTTGCGTTAATATTCTGACAGCGTCCCCGAAGCAGGCAGTCAGTCCTCGTACTCGAGCGGTTCTCTTAGTCCCACCGCATCGCTTGTAACAGTGGCGGCCTTCCTTTTGTCTTATAAATCTTTCCACGAGTATCAGAGTTTTTTGGCACACGCGAGTAGGTCGATTATTGCGATAAGCAAGGACGATAGACTTTCCTGTTGTAATCTTGGTAACTGGTCGACTAAACGAGACGTATCGAAAATCGGTGGCACAATTGAAACGGTGACCCAACACGAAAATAGATTAAAAATGTCATACTAAAGATTTAGGTTAAACGTTTATGTAACAGACATATTGAGTTGGCAAAAGAACATTTTTAATACTAGATTTAAAAGCATTAATTATATACTTTATTAAATTGCTTTCGACATCTTTGTGATAAATAGGAGCAAATTGAAATAGAAATAAAATAGAAAATACAAATAAAACATATCAATGTTCAAAAGATGTGATGGTCATGTAATATGTAAGATAAGGTCTAATCATTTCTGACCCATAGTTATAGAGATATGTTTTTAACACAACATCATCTTCGTTTATTAATTTTGTGCGTTTTTGTTTGATAGCCGGTTTTAATTACTTCAATTATAAATTGTACTTGCTGAAATTAATTGTTTAATTACTTGGCAACAACTTACAATACAGGATACGCTTCCAATCTCATCAAATGCTCAGCATGACTTTCCTTACAAGAAGACTGGGCGTAGGAGTCGATGATGGTCTTTCATTTTTTATCGTCTGTGACCTTTTTCTTTCGCCGTTGTTTCAGGCCGTTCATTTTTCACGATCAGTAGTTATTTAGTTTAATTGTCGTAATTACTTACATAGCCTTCGATTTCAATATTATAATTATGTCCGTTATATGCCAATTTATTTGACAATAGTTAATATACATTAAAGTCTTTATTTGATGAATTAATATCAATTTAACTCAGCTTACTAACGTATTAATGTTTTCAAATTAGAATTACAATACGCGATCACTTAAAGCATCTATGCTATGAACGATACAATTATATATATTTTTTGTGCCACGTTCTTATCTTCATCGTGATAATACAACATAATACGACGAAATTGTGTCTCGCTTTTTTTATATTTTATAGGTGCTAAAGAGTGTCTTTCATTTGGTGTATTTGTATAAGTATATACTTATTTTATTATTCTCTAAGTCGTTCTCCAAACTTTTCATTCTTATTATTATTCAAAGGCATTGAGGAACAGTACAAAGAAAGTTATTTAGTACCCATGATAATATGTTAGAATAATTTCCTAAATTAATCTTTACGACTGTAGATCGACATGCACATACCCAAATAATAATGTAACAATAAGATAGTAACGATTTTCTAATAAATTTAGTAACAAAATCGGAGAGCAATAATAAATAACTTTTCTAAAAGATGTAGTAAGAAATTCGAAATTTATGAATCTGAATTATTACATAGAAATAAATAGAATTACAGTGAAAACCAGTGGGATCCTGGATTCATGTGTTGGTGATCGATTAAGTGTTAAAAAATAAACAGGGACAATGGACTGAGCGAAGTCAATGGATTTTCACACACAGACGCGTTGCGATGAGATACCCTCAATGACAACGTATTCACGGCGGGCAGCTACGGTGGCTCTTTATATCCACAACAAAGCGTAAATATAGCTGATTCGCCTAAGGCCACCTTTGTGCAAGTTGCACCGACTGATCCACTATCGAGATATCTGTGTGAGTCGTGTACTCGCGTGTGGGGAGTGGGAGTGCATGGCCGGTGGGTGGTGGGGCCGGGCACCTCGTCTACGATAAAATATGAACTCGTGCGAAAATGAGGGAAAAGGGGAAAATGCGGATATAAAGATATCAATGATCTTTGGTCACTGGATAAAAGGAACGAGATGTTTGTCGATTCTTGTCAGAAGCATTAATAGCAGACTCCACATGGTAATACCAGATCTAGAGGATTGTGGACATTGATTTCTCTGTGGTATGTTTCGTAACGTATATCTTTGTTGGTAGTTACACATTTATAATATAAAATTAATTTATAAGAATTGAAAAATTTGATTAATATGCAATACTTCATAATAACCAATTTAAAGTTTAACTCATTCTATATCATTTTTTTTAATTTTACAATATCACTGTTTGCAATTTTTTGGGCAACATATGTATCAACACTAAAATCCTGAATGTAGTTAACTTGAATTTCTATTTGCTGTTCGTCAAAAATAAGTAACTGATTACAGCACTAGCGAAAGAAATTATAGAGTATGACAGAACAAAACAATTCTTAATTTGTTGTTTTATAATAATGCGTCAGTTACGTGGTACAAATTTCGAACTGAATTTGATAAGTACAAATGTTATTCATTTTCCCTTTCATCATTAATATGTAAGCTGTACACTAAACGTTGATAGAAGATAAACGTAGAATTCCTTTTTTATGCAGTTAATTATTAACGGTAACTTATTAGCATATCCTAACGAGCAAAATTGTAAAATAGTAAAACGGGAGACTAATAAATTAATTTAAATAATTCTATAAAAAACATGCACAGAACGAAGAAAATCGTATAAAATCAAAATGATTATAAAATGATGACCGTTCTTCGAATTGTTTTTAGAAAAAGTCTAAGCCAAGAAAGATGAAAATAATGTATCGAGAAGTGCATGCTTGGAACAAGAGTGGAAGACAAAGAAGAAAGGCAAGAGGAAAGCAAAAAAGGAAGAAGGGAACACCGACGACGCTGGATAAATATAATTCGTTAACCGATGATGTTAGGACATCACCCCCGACTCTAGCAAGTCTCGAGTGTACCAACATTATTTCTGGCATTGACTCCCAGCACGGTGTACGATCTGACGACGATACCGTCATCTTCCGTGACTCACGAAACCCGAAATACAACGTACATTCGAGGTGATCATTTAAGCTCCCGCCATCTCTTTAAAATCGAACCATATTTATCGTTTTACATTTCTTCATTAAACGAATTTTTTATACAATTCTATTTCATCATTAACGAAGATCGTATATATTAGAGAATAACTACGTAAGTACATTAAAATGACTCTAACAACTACTTTTTATCATTATTGTAATCAATCATTTGCATTTATTAAAAATACAGAAACGTAAACCGATCGGGGAACAAAGGATTTTACACGCAACAACGATACAGATAATGAACTGAAATATTTGTTTCTTTATTCAATGAAACAGAACCGTTTTCTTTATTATGAATAATATATCTACACGAGCAAGCAGTTAGATATAAAAGATAAAATAAAAATAAAAGTAGAAAAAATATTTATGTAGTACTGATACAAGTGAATGGAAATAGAAACGTGTTAAAAAATTTATTAAAATTTATTGTGTATATAAATATGCTATAACAACAAAAGAAGATAAAATCGCACAATAAATAAGCTCATCGATTACTCAATGCACCATACATCGTTTTACACTTGCGTGCATCACACTCGATGCAGCAAATATTGTATGGATCGTATGTGCACAATAGTCGATACATTTTGCGATAATGCCGACGTTTTTGTAACTGCTTTTATGCGTTCAGGAAATCCGCATTGCAATCCCTGACTACAATTAGTAATCAACTTTTTTTTCAATTTCCTTTCAATTTCTCATTTATATCGCATGTTCCGTGTGTTTTTTACATTTATTTATTACAATAATATTTGTTATCTGGTATGGTGTTTTATTTTTATTTATTAAATTCCACAATCGGTAATACTAACATTAGAACTACCCAGTAAACGAATTACCTATCACATACTTTATTATTTATCGGAAATTCGATTTCCTTATACTTCAGTTTGCTTATAGCCAAATCAATTTAACAATTCCCTAGACATGCATTTACATATTTCAAATAATTAAAGAGTTCTTATAGAAAACACTGTATTAAAACTGGAAAAAAATATTTTCCTTCGTTATCCTTTGATATACAATTTAAATTGTAATTTTCCATCAATATAAAATTTAACATAATATTAGCTAACTTTCTTTCTTCTGAAAAATTTGATATTTGTTTTCCACAAATACTCTTCAAATGTAAAAGTAAAAACACACTATTTTGTTCCATTTAGCTCCTACTAGTATAACTCAAGTTGCCACTATTAGATACTGAAAATCAACAGAAGTCCGCAATTAAATTCCCATTTCTCAATTGTGACATCCCAATGCTTATCCTCCGAGTAAAGAATTCGCAACAATCGAATTATCAGGAAATGTTTCAAACTGGACCAGATATAAGCGAGCAGAGAACATCAAGAACTGGATACGGCGTATACGGATTTGTTATCCCCCTGATCACCAACAGACTCGAGACAAATGCGCCCCCCTCCCGACCCAGGGGGTAGGGGGGTCCGTACGGGAGTCGGTGATAAACAGTGTCGCTCATTCACAATGGCCGGCAAACACGCATTAAAACGGACTAATATGAAGTGTATTAATGCGAGCGGCATTGTCTAACCCATGGTGTACATGGCTACTGTCGTGGAGCCTGCCTTTATCCCACTGTGGGGGGCCTCGCGATGCTTACATACGTATATATAGGGGCCCCTCGATATACCCAGTGACTTTTTAAAAGTCGCCCTTGGGAAGTATTCCTCGCAGATGGTACATCCACAAAATCGTCAATGACTTTGGGATGAATGGCGGAGGTCGAAAATCTTGGAGAATGTCTTCAGTGTCTTGCCTTTAAAATTGGTATGCGAGATGCTGTGAGTACAAGCAATTGAATTTTACTGGAGTATTTTGTGACAAATTAGAAATATGGATTATATGAGAATTGAGTTTTATGGTAAAAGAATGAAGATTGTAAAAATATTGATTAGAATATGAATATTATACTGCGGATATTTAGGAGGTTGTAATAATGAGTTTCATTAATTGGAATTATTGATGAAGAAAAGAAAGTCTAATTTAGTTTTTGTTCGTCTGAGGTTATTTATAAATTTGGAAATTTGTACATCTGGAGTCTGATTATAGCAATTGAGGCAAATTTAAAAGGGATTTTATGATTATATCACTTTGTCTTCTTGATCTTACTAAAGCTATTTAATTAGAAGTAAATTAGATATTAGTTGTTGAATGATAAAGAAGTTTCTTCTTATTTTTACATATTTTGAGGGGTAGATGTGTCATAATGATTTTAGATGACCAAAAATGTAAAATAAATAAGCACTGCGAATTCATCATCAATTTCAGCTACCAAATAAATGTAAATAAAAGTATAACTAAAATGAATGAAATGTAATTGAATCTAATAAACGAAGCTGCAGAAATCTGTAAACTAAGTTTTGGAATCTTTTGTTAGTGATCCTTCAATTGTACGCCTTCTAATTAGTGCACTTTCTAGAACTTTGATTTGTCGGTTTAGCGACACTGGCACGGAGCAACAGCTAGTGACTCAATTTATTTCAAAACATTTTGAAACGAAGTCAAAGCTCAAGACGTTTCTTAACATTTCATAATCCTGGTATATTTGAAAGTTCCACAAATACTGCATTTCCGCATGACTCATGGAAGTCATCTTATAAATCACATTGAGTTAGTGGGAGCATAATGTCGGTTTTATATTAAGCTAACCACAGATCAAAAAGTCAGAAATTCACGAAAACAATTATAAGGAATGATAAACATTTTATAATTAGAAATCACAATCAAGTAAAACTATAACATCATAATAAAGTTATTCGTGCATCTATACAAGCAACATAACTTACTAATGTTTCCGACAGAATTTATACGCACATTCTCATAAACGTTTATTTTACCTGAACAATTTATAGAAAAGTTTTAGTTAACCATAACGTGTTTACTTTAATTGTAAGAACAATTAATCGATCTTCAACTGAAATTACAAGTATTCTTGGGTATTTGATTTCTTCTGTCATATAAACTGTGCGCTATCTTAAAGATAATTACGAGTATAGCAACATTATAGTTATATAGTACAATTAACAAGAAACTTTATTATCCACATTAACATGAAAATTAACAAGCGTACTTCGATCTCAATGCCACTCGCTAACACGAACTAGCGAAAAAGTGTTGAGAGCACAACAGAAAATAAAATGTACTTCGAAGAGGCGTTCAAGTACAAGGTTACCAGGTACACCCCGTATGGGACCAATCGCAGGGTAGTGCTGCAAGCTAGTTCTGCCCACTGGTCTAAATTATGGGGTCGCTGTCCAGCGCGCCACGCATAAATGATTGCCCGTGTTATGTTAAACATCCAACAACGGAGAGCCCTGAGAGAGCTCACCCACACGAAACATCCGATGAAGGTGAGAGAGGAGTCGGATAAGGGAAAGAAGAGGAGGAGAAAGAAGCAAACGTTATTTATCTCGAGCAGTTGCGCGAGCGAGGATTTTGAATAATTCCTGGTTGGCGGAAGAGGTCGAGGATCTCGCAGCTCCAGGCCTCTTCGGATTGTCCATAAATATCCTTGAAGTCTGCGGGAACTGTTCGAACACGTTTCACGCACTGGACCTCGCTCATTCGGAGAGACATTTCTTAAGTGCAGCGATGCTACGTCTGACACAATGAAATTCTCGTTTTTTTAATAAAGTGATAAATATTAGGTTCTTACTGTTCCGGAGTATTCATACGTAGTATATAATTAATCGTCGAGTGAATAGACCTGATGTCTGAGCGACGAAGATCAACGAATTAAAAGAAAAATGCTACTGCATCAGATTTTCGAGATTGTTGTTATTAGTTTTCTGGCATTGCCATTTTCTGGCTTTCAGTATTGTAAGTGGAAAGTTATCGTACTTTATGGAATTTTGTATCATTGTGCATACATGGTTCTTTAAAGTTCTCTGAAGTGGCAATGAAATCTGGAGAGGGATGATTCTGTATTAAAAATTAAGTAAAAAATGTAAAAAAAGTTGTGTCTCAAAGGTGTCGTAATTAAGACGATATTATTTTATATTTTCATTACTATTGTAAAATGACACATAGTTTCCAAAAACGAAAATGAATAGCACAATATAAGAGAATAAGAGTTGTAGAAACAAATATTATTAATATATCTATTATATTTATTATTATACATAAGTTTCCGTACATGAGAAATTTTGCATAATAATGTTCTTTATTTATATATCTATAAAATGTGATTACAAGAGGTAATTGTTAAAATATATACATCAGAAACTGTAGTAATGATTACAATCTTTAATATTGACCGTTTGCGGCGCTCTTAAGTGCTTGTGCACCTCATAAGACGTCTTTGTTACTATCATCATTAACTTCTTATAATTCTACATTAAGTGTTCTCCATAATAAAAATATTAAACACTGATATTTCTACATAACCATTATTTGTAAGTATGTTTTCTATTTTCCAACTTCAGAATTTATCTGCAAAGAAATCGAAGCACACGCTACCTCACTAACATCAGGTATCCACACTTATAAAATAGACATATTGGAAGAAAAGACATGCGTCAATTTTATTAATCAGTAGTCTCAGAAAGATAATTCCAATCTTATTACTCTTATATGAAAGAATTATCCATATGCATATCCAATAAAAATTCGAAATGACTCCTTCCTCGAAAGCAGAGTTAAAAATAAAGTTCTCCTTACCCTTCCTTCTCCCTCTTCCTTAAAGAATCAAACATTCATGCGATTTCGTAAAATTGGTCATGGTACCGTGACCTTGAAGCCGCAGTGTCAAAGGAGGAAACTCCTTTTAATGGTAATGGTAACGATCCGTTGGCCGTATGAATGCTCCAGGAACCGAAATATAAAAGATGATCGGCAGAGAGATCGGTCGGTCAGTGACCAGCGAGGAAAAAGACATATTAGAGACATCATAATGCCAGGGCGAAGCTGTGTTCCAATTTATAACCGGATGATATCGCGATAGAGTCTCAGGTTCGAGGCATTGTGTTCGGTAGGGTTTCGTTCCTGATGTTACACCAGGCATCGACTGGGTGGGGTCCTGGTGCCTTGGTGGCCTGGCTCAGAGTATCCTTTTGATATCCTGTTAACTAATGCCGGCTATTCGTTACAGACCAACCACTCGGGAGATGTATACGTTTCCCGCATAAAGAATACCGCCGCGTTCATGAGCGATTCGACATGATGCGATCGTGATTCCTTCAAATCTGTCGAACTAAGGATAAAGAAGTTTCCAATGTTGAGGGATTTTTTAACGTACAACGCATAGGAAATGAAAACAAGCAAAAATAGATAGGAAAATTAGTGTACAAGTGTTTTCGTTTTTACTTCTGTGAAATAAAGAAACTTAACTGAAATTGTGTAATATTTTATGTGATATTTGGATACTAGGTATTTATTT